GGGACATATTTTGAAATGAGAGGATGTTGGTCCTATTCTTTCCTTGGAGTAGGGCTCTCAGAGAGTTAAAAGCTGTGTCTCTCCTCCTCTCCTCTTCGTCCCTGCCCCTGCTCCCACCCTACCTCCCCCAGCTGGCCTCAGGATCGCGGAGGGCGGCATCCCAGAGTTTTTTTACACAAATGTACCACAGCTTTTCTTCCCAGATGCAGCTCTTAAGGCTTCCAAACGTTCTCAAGGGGGTTAGCTATGGATCAGTTGAGCTGTCACTAGAGGGTTTAGAATGGACCCTGCCTGCCAGGAGCTGTTCTCTGGATGTGCTGCCAGCAGATAAACAAGCTTAGGGATGGCAGAAGGACCTAGAGGCTGTTCCATGACATGGAGGGCCCTGAAGTATTTTGGGAAACCGCTGGGAGAGGACAGTGAGCCAAACTAGGGTCACAGAGATCCTGTCCAGGGACATTCTGTTGGAGGGAAAATACCCTCATCCCAAACATTGGAGGGTGATGGGCTTTTCTTAGACTTCCTAAGAATTGGGCCTGAGGACCAGTAAACTCCCAATACACACAGTTTCTCCTGAGCGTGTAGACTCCGCCTTTTGAAAGAGGGATCTAGTTCCGGAGCAGCACGCTTTTGCATGATGCTCTCCTGAGCCACTTTTCCCCGCCAGCACTTTCTTTTCTGTTTAAGCTGCTACCAGCTAGTGGAGCCAAAGATCCACGTACAAATTCTGTTTAAAAAGTGACTTTTTTTTTCTTCCTGAGCTAGGACAGATCATGAGAACTAACAAGGGAGTCAGAGAGGATTTTTTTTTTTGTATGCACACATGCAGATTTTGGTTAACTCTTTATCTCTTTAATACAAGGAATGTGCTACACCGGAAACATTGTTGTGTGTTTTTATTTAATAAACTAACCCATCTATTTTGATCTTTTACAAACCAACTCCAGTGGCAAAACTGAGTTTCATTTGTAATTTCTCTCGAAGGCCGCTGGAAGTTAGAGAGGCAGGATTTAATGTCCCTCTGTACAGGATTGTTTGCGTGACATTGGGTTCGGGAGCAGGCCGTGGGGTGGGCTTCTGGGGAGCAGTGGCAGTTTTGTCCTCTCTTTGTTCACAGGCTGCTCTCTTAAGAGAAGTGACTGACACTTTGTTTGTTCTGGAGGAGTAATTGTGCACAGACATAGGTAGGTAGGGAAGAGCTCACACCTGTAATTTCTCACTGTTCTCGAAACCCGACTTCAGCAGGAGAGCTGAGGGGCTCTCCGTTCTGCCCCTCGCATTGACAGTCTGGATGGCATTGCGCTCGGTGGGGGAGCGGGACTCTTCCTCTGGCATTTGTCCCAGCGTGGCCTGGCTTGGGGTCAGGGAGGGTGGTTTGCAGAGTGGAGGAGCTGCCTTGCTGGGACACAGCTTGAACCCAGACACTTCTGAGCCTCCCACTGGGCTGATTGACTGCCTGCTCAAATACTGGTTAAGTAGTCTGGCTTTTCTTTTCTTCTTTTTGCTGCTTGTGTGCTTGTGGTGTGTAACTGTTACCCTTCTTGATATCACTGTGTGCAATGGCGGGTCTTACTGAGCTTGGATCCTAGTTTCTTGGGAACCAGTTCTTGACACTCTCAGTCTGAAGTTGATGCCCCCTTTATGTGCCCCCCAGAGGGTCCTGTTCTTCCTCTATTGCTATCTTTATTATACTTAATGTGTGTTTTATAGGGTAAAATTGTATTCTTAAAATTGAGCTAATCCATTTGTCGATTTATTAAACAGACCCTTATTTGTGGCTGCCATGGGCCAGGCACCGTGCAAGGGATGGAGGGTTCAGTGATGGGCAGAACACTCGCCATGGAAGTATGTGGGGTAAAAGTGGAAGTACTCTTTTAAATCTTCCACCTCTCCCTCCAGTCTCACTCCTCCGAAGGAACCTACTTAATAATTTAGAGTTGGTGTTGACAAACTGCAACCTGAGGACAAAATCTGGCTTGTCGCCTGCTTTTGTAAACAAAGTTTTATGGGAAAACAGCTATGTCATTTATTTAAGTATAAAAGCTCTATGGCTGCCTTCACACTAACTACAGAGTTGGATAGTTGTGAACAGAACTGTATATTCCACAAAAAAAGAAAATACTTGCTACCTTGCCCTCTACAAAAAATGTTTGCTCACTACTGATTTAGAGGATGTCTTACCAGAACTTTTTAGGTATATTTTATGCATATATATGTTGATGCTTTGTTTTATATATTTTTTTGAGGCAAGACTATTTAACATGTATTATTCATTGATGTGCACCCCTCCCCCACCGACACTTGCATACGTAACTGTCTCCCACACAGAGGACCTGTTCACTGTTTCCAGTTCAGCCCCTGGCATGTTCTCTGGCACATAGCAGGTGCCATTACATACACATATGTTTAATGACTGAATGAAAAGTATATTATTTGTAACAAAGTTCCAAGTTTGTAAATGATATACTTAACAAATAATTCAGAGCATCCATAACCTTGAGTGAATAGAGGAAGCCTGGTTAATTTGGCAATTTGTATTTTATGGTTGGTGCATGGACTGTATTGGTCCAATGCCCATGGCATTGGAACATGTAGATACGTTTCTTATAAGGTATCTTATTCATGTTTTGTAGCTTGCATTTTTGTTGAGGGATATTGTCCATTAGATAATATGAATCATATATTTAGTTATTGATAAGGATCTGTGCCTTCACTAAAGTGGGAGGTCTGCTATCTTATCAGGTATATTAATCACCATAATTTTGGCAAATCCCCTTTCTTGGATATCAGGGAAACAATTTTAGGTGGCTTTCTTTTCTCTAGATGGCTTTCTAACCTTTTCTTTTTGTGCCTTTCCCCCCTCATGCCACAAACCCTCCCCATCTAACCTCGGCAAAGCATGAGATGCAAGCCGAGCAGGTGTGTTGTCAGGTAAGGTGAGGTGTTGTGGGTACAGGGAAGCCTCGCTGCTGAAGCCTTTCCTGGGCTTCTGAATGGGCGGGAATGTGTGTGTTTCCCACCATCTGGCCTGTGCTTGCTGTTGATCTCTCTCTGTCCAGGCTTTTTTTTGAGGGGTGGGGGGCGTGGTGCAAAGTGGACCTCAGGAGGGAAAGTGTGATTCCAGGCAGATTCTTCCTTAGCAACCAGTACCTGGATGGGATTGTGTTATGGCCACAACACAAAATGAATGCTCATAGTTATAAGGATAGAGACCTTGAAAATCATTTCAAGAAAAACTTAATTATGAGGATCCTGCAGAACCAGAACCCAAACTGGGAAGGTGGGAGACACTAAGGCAACAGAGAAGACATCTCTAAGCAATTTATTGTAATCCATTCACTTTCAAGATCAGGTTGCTGAGGCCCAGAGAATGAAGGGGCAGTTTAGATGTCAAATTATATTAGACATCCATTGACTTAATAATAAAATGGAACCAGCTGTACAGTTACAGGGGACAAACACTTGCAAATTTTGTTTCCTTTTTCATTTACCTCTGGGGAGCTCTGCTAGGCAAGATGGTAATGGTTTTTCATGTGTGCCAGGCATTGCGCTAAGCACTTTATATGAATTACCATATTTTATTGTCATGGTAAGCTTTGAGGTTGGTACTTTTCATAACCACAGCTCATGAAAAAAATAAAGTGAGGATAGGAGAAGATATGACTGACTAATCCAAGATCACATTGAGAGTGTTAGAGCCCCAAATCTGATTGCAGAGTGGGTGTTCTTGACCGGTGCGCCTTCTCTGATGCTTTGAGTGAGACCATTTAAAGTACTTCCTGCAGAAGACGCTAGATGTGTGAAAAGTGGGCAAAATCCCCTGTTTTGTTTCTAGTATAACTTGGCTTCTTCACTGTACCCGGGTGGGTGAGGACCACAAAACCCTAACAGCCCCAGGACAAGATGGGATTCGTGACTGCCTAGGTCAAAGAGTGAAAGGCACAAAGTCCCTGTGTGGGCTTTCTTCACCCCACTCCCCTCTCTTTGGATGTGGTTGGTCTTGGTGTTGTGTTTGGACAGTGGTTGAAGTGAACAGAATCAATCGTGAGTTCACTGTAACTTCAGAGCTCATAAAATATTTATGAAAGCTTTCCTTAGAGTTGGACTTGAACCATTTCTTGATGCCTGCGGCCTGAATCTCACTACGGGGCCAGTAATATTTCTTGAAAGAAATAATATTTCTTCCAACCCTACTCTCTCTGTCTTAATTTGCCTTAATCAATATTACCCCAGGATCCTGAGGGGCACCAGTAAAGAGGGTCTGGCTGGCTGTTTGTTACATGATATGATTCCAATTACTTATCAAAATCCTTGCCATTTCCTGTGGTCACTTAATAACAAATGAACTTTGTAGCATCTGTCTTCATAACAGTGTAAATTAAACTGAAATGTTGCTGGTGGGAAAAAAATCAGCTAGCGGAAGTCACTTAGAAGGAACACAGTAAGAGGAGAAAGACTACAAATATTCTAACAAACATAAGTTAACTAATCTTCCTCCTCTTTTGGATAAATTTGGGGGTTCAGATTAGTTACAGAAAGACTTAGTCTTCAAATTGGGCCAAGAGCCACACAACAGATTTACCCTTATTCCTTCTGATTCAGAGGAGGGACAAGAAAATAGAGGCATTCACTGCTCTTGTGATTATCTGGCTGCCAGGTGAATGAGCAGGAAGGATATTTAGTCCCAGGAGCCCTGGGAAGCTGCTTTCAATAGCTTTTATGGTCTCGGTGCTTGAGACTTTAATTTATTTGACATTTGGTTGTTGAAGATGATTTATTTTCTCTGGCTTGTTTTCATTATCTCAGGCACTTGAGAGGGGAAATTTAGAGAGTAGGACATGGGAAAGCAGTCCTTTAGGTCCTGGCGACACCAAGGGCGGTGTCCAGGCTAGAGTATTACCCGGGAGTTTGTTAGAAAGGGACACTCTCGGGTCCCCACTTTGACCTCCTGAATCAGAATTTGCATTTTAACAAGATACCCAGGCGGTCCGTTCGCATGTTATGAATTTAAGAAGGACTGCTCCACAATGTCCCCTGCTGGTTTCTGAGGTGCTGAAGGAACGCTGTAGTCTGTCTTGGCCTCAGGTATGCTTTTTAAAGGCTGGTGTGATTTCTTAACAGGGCACCTAGTACAGTGTCTGGTGTGACTTCCTTCTCTTCATCACCGCTGCATCATTAATGAACAGCATGGTAACTGGGTGTTTACTGTAAAGCCCGAGCACGGTTCTAAGTGCTTTATAAATACTATCTCATTTAATCTTTAGAACAACTCTGAGGGGATACTACTATTATTCCTGTCTTATACATGGGGAAATGGAGACGAAAGAGATTGGGTACATATTTTTTTGTTCATTGGAATGGAAATCAAAGAGGTTAACTTAGAGAAGGTAGCATGAGGTTAATGGAAAGAGCTTGGGCTTTGATTGGATGATGTGACACCAGTTTAATTTTGATTTGTTTTGCATGCTATTAAGATAATCTTGGGAATATCGTTACAGCCGTCATAGGTTAATTAGGAGGGTAAAAATAATATCATATGCAGATTGTCTAGCAGAATCCCTGGAAAATAGTAAGTACTTAGTAAGTGTGTATCTTTTTCTTCTTTGCTATCTCCTCCCTGCTTTTTCCCTTATCTTCTATTCTGTTATTTTTCTTGTGCTACCCTACTGCTAGCTAACTTCGGTTCTTCACTTCACTCCTAAGCACCACTGCCTGGAATCCCCCAGCTACACAGGACTGAGGTTTTATAATGCATGTATCTTCTTAAATATACTGCTTAGAAAGGACTCAATGTGAAGTCTTAGCTCAGTTGTCATTTGATTAATAAGCATCCGTGTTTTAAGCGCTTAGCTTAGATGGTTCTTAGAATCCAGGTGGTTGCTGTGAAAGAGGTTAGATTCTGATCTGAATTGAAAGCAAGTGCCTTCAGGTGAAATGTGTGGAAACATGCAGATTCAGTGCCTTACCTGGAGTCTGGATGAGTCTCAATCCATCTCCATTAACTGCTATTTCCATGACCTTGGGCCATTCACAAATGAAACAGAGTGGTGCTTAAGTGCACAGCCTCGGGAACCAAATTGCCTGGGCCTGATTCTTGGCTGTGGTGCTGACTAGTATGGGCATAATTAAACCTGGTTCATAAGTTCCTGTGAGGATTAAATGAGTTGATGCATGTTTAAAGCTCCTGGAATAGGCCTGGCCCATGTTAAGGGCTTTTGTGCGTGATATTTTCCATCGTACTTAGCCATTTGAACCCCCGTTTCCTCACCTGTATAATGGATAATCAGCCTTCCAAAGGGCCAGGCCTTAAATGTGGTGGCATAATGGGTCTGGTGCAGTGCCTGGCACGAGCAGATACTCAGTTCATGTTTGTGTCCTGCTGAACTAGGGAGACACGCAGAGTAGCCATTGTTTTGGAGGATTGATCACATACTTGTCCTCTGCACAAATGTGCATGATTTGGGGCTGTCAAGTTGGACATTTTTACTAGGTCCTATTTAAATTACTCATTGATCTTATTATATAAATCTTTAAAAAAATTTTTATTTATTTGAATTTTCTTTAAACATTTTATTTATGTGTTTTTAGAGAGAGGGGAAGGGAGGGAGAAAGAGAAGGAGAGAAACATCAATGTATGTTTGCCTCTCGCATGCCCCCTACTGGGGACCTGGCCCACAACACAGGCATGTTCACTGACTGGGAATCGAACCGGCAACACTTTTGGTCACAGGCCAGCACTCAATGCACTGAGCCACACCAGCCAGGGCTGAATCTAACAGAAGAGGCAGATGTTACAAGAGCTGACAACTACACAATAAAATGATGATGATGATGATGATAATGAAGAAACATACTTAGGTGTTTCCAGAGTTCTCCTTGGAAAACTCACACTCCTCTCCAGGGGTAGTGATAGGGCAGATATTGACTAAAATATCATTTAAATAAGGAAATGCATCCATGGCAACTGAGAAGACTGGGAACGGCCTGGGAGGACTCCACTGGCAGCAAAATGACAGAAATGGTATGTAATGTTCTTCACCAGTCACCAGCAAAACCTGTCATTCAAACTGCCCACGGCAAGAGGCGATCATAGTGGACCAGTGCAGCTGATTTCTTCACAGCACTGGGGCATATCCCGACAACATCCACTGGAACCTTGCGGGTCTTCCAAGAAGTGGGAAGGCGCGGCTTCATATTTTTCTTATTTTATGGATTGGCAAGGTGGTTGTCAGGAAATACTGTGAAGTGGAACTTGGTGCTTCGCTGCCACTTAGCCCTCTGTTGTCTATGATATCTCTCTCTCATTCTGAGGCTTTTTTTAAAAAGAGTATTTCTCTTACCTGCTTATCAAGGTGAGAAGTTTAGATGATACACTATATACCTTAAGATGTTATTTCTTACCTTTGAAAGTCTTTTCATTTTACAATTCCTTATAGACTAAGCCATATTTAGTGACTAAACTATTTAACCGGCCAAACACAATGTGAGGACCTGATGGTATGAGTTGCCTCAGTGTCTGTAGGAGACGTCTATGTTCTGATGTAGGTGAAAGACCCTTTTCCTGCAAAGAACATGTGGTTTATCTTCAGAGCTTGCCGTGGGTTGCCGTGTTTATCCTGGCCCTGGGAAAATCAGCCTCTGCTCTAGGTGAAGTGCTCTCTGTCCTGCCTCTCTCACTCTAGTAGCCCTTGACCTTTAATTTGTCTTTCTCCTCTGTTCAACTTAGCCTGCCTGTGGCTCACCCAGGCTCCGTGGAGCTGCACAGTTGGGTCTGAAGACAAAGTGATTACCAAACTCAGCTCGAGTGAACTGACCTTAGCAAAGGTCTGGAGTTACATCTCGTCTCAGAACATCTACTTGGAGCTATACAGTTAGTTAGTAAAAAAATATTCTTAGGTATTTGCCATTTTTAGTCAGATGCAAGTTAGATACCTTGGGTTTCTCCTTTTGTGTGCGGACAAACCCGGTTCCATGGGAACTTTGAAAAATTGATTCCTGAATACTCCCTCCACCACAATGAATTGGACTCTTTAGTTGGTGGGTGAAGACCAGGAAATCCAGGAATCTGAATGACAAGGAGCAACAACAGGTGTCTATATGCAATACTTACATAGCCGAGGGGCCTCTGGTCCAAGGACAAGTGCTCAGGAAACAGTCCAACACTTTTTAGTTTATGAGTATTGAAACTGAGGCCCAAGAAACTTGCCCAGCCAGAGGGCAAGGCTGTATTGCCTCCCTGACTGGCTTTATGAGTATCTTTAGCCTTTCCTTCCCAGTGACCACTTAGGAGGTGTTGATGGACTGGCTGTGCTTTAAGTGAGAATGTGCCAACATGTTTTTTCTTAACCAGCTGCGTAGCAACTTCCCTTGCAGTTGGTACTCAAAGGCCTCGTCCTATTTCGTCAGTAATGGCTTTTAGTTTTATAATGTTCCACTGGGCCTACTTTGAATGTAAAGGGCTTTCTATTACAGTTAAAGAACACTCCATTGTTGCTTAATTTCCAAATCAAGTGTGCATAAATAATTTATTGACGCGATGTTGCACTCAGACAGTTCTTTGAAATTGCCCTGTGTAACTTTATTAAGAGCAGAACCCAGATTGTTAATCCGTCTGATTGGAAAGGGGGAAAAATGGATCTATATATTATTTAACCATTCAGGTGGTAAACTGCATTGCCCCCTGAAAGTCCTAACCACTGCTTTCAGTCATCGCATTTAAATAATAAATAAAACAGAGTCTGTGCATTAGAAAAACATGCCATGTTTTGTTAGCATAATCAGAAAAATGGAGTTGCTACAAACCCTTTCCCCATCTGCCAGTCATTGTATTAAATGTTTCTGCAATTTTATTAGAATTCTCTGTCTCTGCAGACGCCGGTCAGCTGTGAAATTGAAATTGCAAACAGAAACATTGCATTTTCTTTCCACAGTGGAAACTGAGAAAGTCCATTTTTTGGACAGGTAAAGAGATAGCCTGACCTTGTCAATGGGGTCATTCTCTGTTTGGTTTGAAGGCAGGTTTGGGCTCCTGTCTTGAAAGGGGGGGAAGGAAGGCGGCAATCTGATCGCACGTCCTCCCCTATTCACAGAAGGAGAGCTTTTGAGCTTTCCTGAGTGTAGCTCATTTTTCTTTCTCCCTCTTGCTCTGAGTACAGGGAGGTTGCACTGGTGAGGCTTTAGTGCTAGAGAGCTGCAGAAGTTTCCATGAGATGTTAACTCTATCGTTTTGAGGTTTTCTAGTGGGTAGGTGGGATTAATGGCAGTGATAAGTAGTTATTGCTGGGCTGTTGGAACCTGAGTTGAGCCTGAAATGGGAGTTAAGAATGATAGTTGGATTATCTTTGCTTGAAGCATTCTTTACTTCTCCTTTTCCTGGGTAATTCCCAATCTTTCTTAAATGTCACTTTCACTAGGAAGATTACTTCCATCAGCCTTTTCCACTCACTCAGGACCAGGTTATTTGCACCTGCTCTGAACTACCATTACTCTGAACTACGTGCTGGTTTTGCTAATTTAAATGCCCGTCTCTCTTCATAGATTGTAGACTTTCTGAAGAGCAAGGCTCTATCTGTCTTGCTCATCATTTTATCTCTAGGCTCAGAACTGTGTAGGTCTGTTAGACTCGGATGGGTCAATATTTGTTAAAGGAATGAATGACCAAATAAAAAGTACCTCCAGAAATACTGGAGTACTTAGCTGAGATGTACTGGCAAAACAGGAAATTCAGAACTAGGGTAAGGAATACATGGTGGATTTGTATAGCATGGAATGTAGGATGGGAACCGGGGAAATCATAGTAATCACATAACAGCAAGTCTTTATAACAGTGGTTATAAAATCTGACCAGCGTTCTGGGGTTGGAGAGAAAACGTGGAGGTGGATCTTTTGTCTTCAGATCTTCAGTTTCAGCTGTAGATATTTTGTGGTGTGAAGGGAAATAATGAAGTATTTTTTTACACAGGTACGTTGTATACTCTAGGCATCAACTTGAGTCGAACAGACATGTTCCAGCACTTTAACAATTCAGCGTGGAGTCCAGGGCAGCTCGGTCCCTGCACATTTATGCTGTTCTGTGCCAGGCCTCG